ACTTTCGTTTACACGCGCGAATCGGTTGTTGCGCCACGGGGCCAACCCTCAGGTCGTCGTGTCTCTGATCCCGGCCGTTGTGTCTCGGATGCGGCTGTCCGTGTCTTCGATCCAGCTGTCGTTGTCTCGGATCTGGCCGTCGTGTCTCGGGATTACGCCGGCGTATCTCTGGCCCCGGCCGTCGTGTCTCCGGAGCCCGGCGGTCGTGCCTCTGACCCTGGCCGTCGTGTCTCGGAGCCCGGCGGCCGTGCCTCTGACCCCGGCCAGCCCGGCGGCCGTGCCTCTGACCCTGGCCGTCGTCGGTCTCGGAGCCCGGCGGCCGTGCCTCTGACCCTGGCCGTCGTGTCTCGGAGCCCGGCGGCCGTGCCTCTGACCCTGGCCGTCGTGTCTCGGAGCCCGGCGGCCGTGCCTCTGACCCCGGCCGTCGTGTCTCGGAGCCCGGCGGCCGTGCCTCTGACCCTGGCCGTCGTGTCTCGGAGCCCGGCGGCCGTGCCTCTGGCCCCGGCCGTCGTGTCTCGGAGCCCGGCGGCCGTGCCTCTGACCCTGGCCGTCGTGTCTCGGAGTCCGGCGGCCGTGCCTCTGACCCTGGCCGTCGTGTCTCGGAGCCGGCGGCCGTGCCTCTGGCCCCGGCCGTCGTGTCTCGGAGCCCGGCGGCCGTGCCTCTGACCCCGGCCGTCGTGTCTCGGAGCCCGGCGGCCGTGCCTCTGGCCCCGGCCGTCGTGTCTCGGAGCCCGGCGGCCGTGCCTCTGACCCTGGCCGTCGTGTCTCGGAGCCCGGCGGCCTGCCTCTGGCCCCGGCGTCGTGTCTCGGAGCCCGGCGGTCGTGCCTCTGACCCTGGCCGTCGTGTCTCGGGGCCCGGCGGTCGTGTCCTCAGATTCGGTCGGCCCCGTCTCGATCCCGGCCGTTGTGTCTCGGATCCGGCTGTCGTGTCTCGGGGCCCGGTGCGGTGGTGGTGTTCTGACCCCGGTCGTTTGTGTCTCGGACCCGGCTGTCGTGTCTCGTATCAGGCCGGCCTATCTCTAACCCCGGCCGTCGTGTCTCGGGGGTCCGGCGGTCGTGTCTCGAATCCCGGCCATCGTGTCTCAGATCCGGCTGTCGTATCTCTGATCCCAGCCGTCGTGTCTCGGATCTGGTCGGCCTGTCCTCTGATCCCGGCCGTTGTGTCTCGGATCCGGCTGTCGTGTCTCGGATCTGATCACCCTATCTCTGATCCCGGCCGTTGTGTCTCGGATCCCGCTGTCGTGTCTCGGGGTCCGGCCGACCCGTCTCGGAGTCCGGTCGTAGCATCTCCGAAGCCAGACCACGGCGTTTCTCGAGGCCGCTGCGTGGCGAGGGAACGACCCTGTCGTGTTGACTGAGGTGACGGCGGGAGCCGCCCCCCTCCCCCTCAAACACGGCTGCCCCGGCCCAGCAGCCCTGGACGGACCCGGGACCCGGCGCTCCGGCCCCGCGTCCAGCCGACAGGCCGGGGAAACTGGTGTGCGATATGGGTCGGACGCCGCTCCGACCAACCGCCTTTCGGGACTTTGTACCGCGGGAACATGAATAGCCGAAGTCAGCTGCCTGCGTCTGTAGACTGTGCCGCCGGACTCGCAAAGACTGCGCTGCTGCCACGACGCCAACACCTGTGCGGTTGCACGCCGCCGTTCTGGGCAGTCATCCGTTATTATTATTGCAGCCTGCGTTGCATACCGGCGCGTAATTGCGGGGCAAAGTTGCAGATCACCGCGACTGGCGGTGTCGCCGAGCAAATACGACAGCCGGGATCGGCGGCCGGTCCGCCTCTGCAGCCGTCTCGCCGATTGAATAGCCGTTGCAGCTCGATTAGCCGGCCTTACTGTCGCCGGCCGTCCGCCCGCGCCTTACGCGCGCTCCGCGCCGTCCGCCCCCGCGCCGGCGGCTGTCCGTCGGCGCAGGTGCGCCTGGCGCTGATTAGGTGTCGGTGCGCGGCGCCCGTGATCGGCCGACAATTGCTGACTATCCGTGTCGGCTACCGGCACTTTTTCCGGGCGCGCCCGGCTCGCCCAAGCCGGCCAGCCAGCCGCCCGGCTCGTCCGCCCGGCTCGCTGCCGCTCGGCGACGTGCCGGATGGCGCCGCGCGCCGCCGGCGGACGAGTGGTCGTGCCGAGCGGCGCGGTGTCGCGGCCTCTGCGTGTGACGGGCTGTCGAGTGATGAGACGGCGAGGGCGCGCTGCGAGAAATGGGGCCTGCGGGGGGCAGTGCTGGGCTTCGCTTACACTTTATGTTTCGGCGGTCTTCAAATGGCGCGTGCACGAGTTGAATGAGTAGAGTATTTGAGGGCAGAGGCTGGCGGTGGGTTGGTCAGTAGGGTGTGTTTTGCCGACCACCAAAGATGTAGTCTGCTGAATAAATGGCGGGATTAGTTATTTCACTGCAGTCTTAAGCGTTCTAAGTGACTGCTCTTTATCACACGGGAAATACACGACCAACGCTCTGTCCAGTTGTCCAGCGGTGGAGCTGTGTTTTTTCCATCACCGACGAAGTTTGGAAGGGCTTAAATTGTCACCAGAAGCCAAATCTATCAGAACCGCTGCAATGTACCTACCGTTGTAAAATAACCTCTCAAAACAAAATTAACTCCAATTCAATGCGTCATAAACATCACAAATATTTTCATGTGGAAAGTTTCAGTTGTACTAAAGTGTCATTTGCTGGCCATGCCAAAGGCCTCGGTAAACGTGGTGTAGTTCCTAGTGCATGGATGGGCCTCTGTTACCTTTACTCAGCTCTACATACAATATAATGGCAATAAAAAACATTCATCTCACGCCTGTCAACCGGTCAGTTCACTATACCTGCGGTGCGGCAGGCGGTGTGCGAGACCAACGCTAGCGATGCCGGCCTCTTACCACAGAGCCGGTGTTCCTCTCGACAGCAGGAAGCCCGGACGTATCCTTTGCGTGTGTCCCTTCAACGCCATGCGTTAACCTTTTAAGGCGCAGTTTGGGTATCCACAAACAACGGGCCTCTTAAATGGGCTGGGCTTTCTAACGCTGCTACGAGGGACGTCCTCCATGGCAGATCCATGGAAGAGCCGCACAGTGCCTTAAAGGAACTGACGATTGGCTGCGTCCTTCACATAGGTGAGATTCTCACGACATGAACACAGCCAACGGCCGCCTGCAGTCTTGCACTGAGCCTAAACTACAGCCGAGCGACGGGCATTCGACGCCATCGGTCTCAAATGGCACGACAATTTAAAGCGCAGCGTAGCAGACTGATCACGTTCGTCGCAAGGTGTTGAGGCCAGCCACTTGTCTTATGACAGTCATGAGCCTTGTTATTTAGGCTAATGGTACACTGATAAGTATGTGACGCAAATATTGGCTGAAAAATCTACGGAAAGTACTGATCTGACGGGCATTGGAAAAGCACTGGCACCATTGATCTGTAACGTCAGCACTGATAAGGTATAGCTTGTAGTGCATTTCTGTCGACTGCTAAACACAAGCCTTAATAAAGCTATGATGTTCGGAAGCGTCATGCTGCTCAATTTTCCCATGCAGCGAGACGTCAATGTTTCGACATATTCTCCGCACAAGCTCACGCTGCAGGCGTTAGCGATTACGCACCAATGCTGGGCTACAAGTTTCGTCCAGTTGAAATAATCTGTTGCAATTTGTTTCCGTTTTCGCTATTTTGTCATCATTTAGCTCGCAGCAGCGCCAATTTTTGTCACTGGTTGTCACCTGTACATCGGCAGCGCCTCTGACCGGCGTCATCCCTAGCGGCGTCTCCGAAACAATGTTCTTGATACTGTCTGCGAAGACATTCAGGGTACCGGATCTCATATATTTCTACAGCGCACACCTATGCCACAAAACACATGCCATTCACATCGAACGGAGAAGCTTTAGGAGCAGTTCGTCCCGAACAGTTCTCAGTATCACGAAGTACAACAAATACCAAGATGAACGCGGTCGGAAATCCTCCACAGCTGTATCCAAAAGTACGATCGTTTGGAATTATCACTGCAAATGAAACCCTCACTCGATGACGCATGTGAGGCATCTCCGCTTTGTACAGAACAGCGTCACAATTCTCCGCCTGATACCACCGGACGCCAAAGCAGTCCCAAAACAGCGAGCTCGGCGTAGACGAGCGTGGTGAGGTTAAAGCACGACATACCATCGACCGCCGCAGTCGACACCCAGCAGCGATCGGTCACACAGCTACGCGGCTCCCCGCGGGGGCAGGCCCATCTCCACCCCCTCGGCGTCCGCGCCGGGCGCGGCCACCTCTCACCAAACCACCGCGCCCCACTCGCGCGCCGCTCGAGCCCACCGCCAATAAATAACACAACGGAAGCGTGCAACCATAAATAACACGTGCACTCTGGTAATTAGCCTCGGCGGCATACCTTCACACTCAATCGGCGGCGCACAACGGCAGCGTCGCAGCCGACGAGACGGCCTCGCCGGTGGCTCTCAGCACCCCGTGAGCCGCGCCGCTCAGCCGCCATTCAGAGTCAATTTAGCGCGCGCTTTGTGCGTCGCCGACGCCTTTTAGTCGGCTGATTCTGGCGCCGGAACACCTAAGACTGTGGCGCGGCCTATGTAAATGCGCCGCGATTGTCTTGGCGCGGTCGCCTGACGCGGGCGGTCTGCTCGCGGACTGGGGGCGGAAGTCTGCCCGCGGACTGGGGCGGAGGTCTGTCCGCGGACTGGGGGAGGGTCTGCCCGTGGCTGGGAGCGGAGGTCTGCTCGCGGACTGGGGGGCGGAGGTCTGCTCGCGGGACTGGGGGGGGGGGGGGGGGCAGACGAGAGCGGGGAGCACGGCCGCGCCGCGAGCAGGGACGGCCCGTCGCCGCACACTGGCGTCCCCGCACATCTACGGTCCGGGGTTACCACAGCGCGCGCCAGGAATCCGGCGCCCCGGCGCTGCTGCTGGCCACCGCACAGCGGACGGGGCGGGTTCCGGCGGCGGCCCGCCCGCGGCCGCTGGCCCGGTGACAGTCACCTATCTTCACCGACCGCCGGTTACCAGCTGCGGCCGGGCAGCGGCAGGTAGGAGGCGCACATCTGCGCGCCGCCCTCGCCGGCTGGCTGCGCCATGGCCATGGTGGGCGTCATGCTCTGCGGTACGGCTCCATGCCCGTCACCATGGCGGCCGGCGGCGAGCCCATGGCGTAGTAGTGCCTTGCTGCACCAGGCTGGCCATGCCGCGGCGGCGCCCGGGAGGGCGGCGCGCCGCACGGCTCGCCGGCCAGGCTGGCGGCCGGCGCGCTGCTGGTGGTGGTCGCCTCGCCGGAGCCGCTGCTGCACGGCTTGCCGTCCTTCACCAGCACCGGCACGGCCACGCGGCGCGGCGAGCCCGCCTGCTCGCTCATCGCCTTCTCCTTGGCCTGGCGCTTGAACTTGTAGCGGTGGTTCTGGAACCAGATTTTTCACCTAGAACGGGCGGGAGGCTGTCAGCGGCTGGCCGCGCTTTGTCGTCCGGCGGAGATTAGACGGGCGATTACGCTTTCCAGGCAAACAGCGCGCGCGCGGAGGGGGTTTTCGGCGGATTAGCGCCATTAGCGCGCAGTGAGGCGGGCGTAAGCCCTCTGTGTCCGACAGTTGTCTACCAAAAACGATATTATATAGAGATGTATTTACGGCGGGGGAAGGAAAATGCCGCCCGCCCCTGCGCTGGGGGAGTCGCCTATAGAGGTTGCCCCAGCGGCTGGTGGGCTTTGTGCGCCGCCTGGCTCGGTTTAATGCGTGCTCTGTGGGAACGACTCAGGACATTCCGAAGAACAAACGGCTCGCAATGTCCGGCTATCTGTCGTCGTTGCCAGAATTCATAAGACAGGCACTGGAGCATGCTATGCTATGTATGAATGAGCCGCGTCCCTGCGTTCAGTCATGTCTGAAAGGACAATGCCTGAGAAATTATTTGGCCTTGCTCTCTTCTAAGAATTCCTCACAAGCGTCCGAAATGTTAGCGGCTCAAAACTATAAACCGTGGTTTCTCGCAGGCTTTTATCGTTGGAATTTACCAGCTTATTGCGACACATTGCTTTTTTCTGTTTCACCACCGCGCTCCATATTAGCCTTTGTCTTACAGTTGAAAACTACATTTACAAAGTCGTGTTAGAATGCATCAAAGTTCAAATTGAGTGAGCTATTTAGCTGTGCTCGTAAGTAACTTGGGCCCAACAAAGATATCTTCGATTCTATTTTCTTCGAAATAGCATAAAGCTTAGACTTTCAAAACACTTTTTTAAATTCGAACATGCCCAATTACCCAAGATGCTGCCGCTCTGATCCGCGCACTGTCTTCGGCAGTAACGACATGGGTTAAATCTCCGTCGTAATCAGGGTACTAGTTTTTTTGCTGCTACCACTACTAGGTGGTGATCGCTTTGCATCTGTCCCGAATGAGGTCAAATGTCTGCAGAATTATTGCGGCGAGAACAAAAGCCTGTTAGAAAAAAGGAGAGTTAAAAATTAATTGGGAAAGCGTGGTATAGTCTTTGAAATATTTTGTTCCAAAAACCATTGTTGCTATGCGCAGATGTTGTCCAATTGATAAAGCTCGCCGGAGGTGATTTTTTAGTTGAACGCCTAAGAATTTGCAAATCCTTTTCCCAATTCATATCGCATGCATTTTTTCGTTTAGTTGCACGCCCTACGTTGTAACAATGCGGACAGGCCCTGGATTAGCATGAGGTCTGTGAGTGAAGTGCGCCATACGTTCGCTGCGAGACATGACAGCAATTTAAAGCATAGCGTCAAGGAGGAGTGGCTAAACAAAAAAGCTCCAGGAATGAAAGTTTTTATCATTCTGTACAGACTGATATTGAAAATTTAGCGATACATTTTCCCCACTGTCAGGGATGTGTTCCACATTCATGTAGGGTTTGAGCTGAAATAGCCATCTTGAACACCTTCCGGTGCTGTCCACAATCGTGCCTTCCTTAAGACCTAAGCCCCTTTAGTTTCTGAGCTAAACGCCCACAAAATGGGGAAGATATATCGGGGAGACTTTTCAAAGCCACCTTGGCATTCATGACGTCATAACAACGTCATTCAAATTCTATAATTTCATAAGCAGTGCGGTGATCAAGGCCAAAAAAGAAGATTGTCGAGGCGTTCATATCTGGCGTTTGTCAGCACGATAGCCATATGTAACGGCCGTCTACTAGCCCCCAATCCATGTTGTGTATGGTACGATGATGTAATCAAACCATGACGCATTGAGGAGCGCAGTTACGAAACAGGGAATCGTGCTGTCTAGAACAGTCCTTTTCCACTTAAAGATATACCAATAGTTGTAAGTGAGCTGGGTTTCATACATATCTAACGCTCACTTTAGAAGCTTCAAATGTGAAACATCCCCTTCAAGGAAACAAAGTTGCAACACGCTTTTGGTGCGCCTAATCCCCTAATCTCGACATCTGATGTGATACCTGTGACTTGAAGCCCTGTGGTTGTACTGACCTGGGTAGGAGTTAGATGAATCAGGCTGGCCAGATGCTCCCGCTCTGGCGCGGAGAGGTACTTCTGCTGCTTGAAGCGTCGCTCCAACTCGTACACCTGCAGGAGCAGGGGGTCAGACGCGATCAGGGCGTGGTCAGGGCTTGGTCCCATCCCCTGAACGCTTTTAAGATGCGATTCAATTGTAGCGATGACTTTTCTTTACCAACATTTTTAAGTGCACCTCTCTACCACAATATTTCATGCTTCTATAAAAAAACTGTGGCGTGCTTAAAACGGGCGAGACTTTCAACATATATTCAGAGAGGCTAGAGTACTCACAATATCTTGCGTAACTTAACATCCCATCAAAGTGCAACTGTAGGGATGAACCAACACAAAATATCGATGTGCATACCATTTTGAAAAGCCTCGCCGCTGCTGATTAATTTCCCCGACGCACGAATTCTCCGACATCCCGGTCATCAGCTGACGTAAAACAGCGTTCGTCAGCGGGCCCTTAGACGGAGACGGGCGCCTTACCTGTGCCTGCGTGAACAGCACGCGTCGCTTGCGTCGCTGGCTGAGCGGAAACTGCATCGGCTTGGTGTCAGAGCACGCGCCGAACGGCGCCATGTTGGACATGTTGACGTTCATGGGCCGGTGGACCCCGTCATTAGGCGGAGACTGAAACACGAGAGCACGAGGTCAGCCGGATGTCCAGGCGGGGCCTCAGACTGTCTGTCTGGAGGCAGGCTCGCGCAGACCAACGCGCCAGGCATCCGGAAGGGAATGCAATGCGCTTCAGGGCGGCGAATTTGAGGGACCATTTGCAGAAAACCACCGCTTGATGGCTGTCTACCCTGCATGGCTTTCACTTACATAGGACATATATCACATAGGACGGTCGTTGCCAAGTTCGTGCAAACGTAGGAACAAGCCAGACCGCCAATGCGTTTAGACGTACGGAGTTACAACCACCTAGTGGTCCGACTCCGCCATAAGTGCACGTGCTTGGATGTCCCAAGCACTTGCTGTACCCAAATCCGTGTACGTCCTGCCGTATATCTGTAACTTCGTGCGTGATGCCCACCACCGATTCGAGTTTGCTTTGGCTGGGTAGCCGGGCCTGGCCCGCCATGAGCCGCGACGGCTCCCGGATGGAAAACACGCCTCATATGCAGCGGTCACTCTGTTTATCCACGGCGCTGTGTTTTGTTTGAGAGGGCCTCTGTTAGACAAGTGATTTAGCTGAATTAAAAGCTTTACAGGATTTATGACTGGCTATGGCAGCCGAGCCCAGATTATGACGTCACCGGGGACGACGGCGGGCGTCGACAGACTGGGAGCGGCGCCGATAAAACAGAGCACTCTCACGAAGCAACCTCTTGGAACGGTCGTGCGCGCGCTTAACTCGGCGGACTTTGGCCGGCCGCTGTTCAGCGGATTGGCGTGCAGTGGAGAGCGGCGCATGCAGTGGAACGGTTATGGTCATCAGCACAAGGATGGCGGGGCCCACTTCAGGGTGCATTGTGACGAATTTTAAGAGGTTAATATTGATCAGGGTCATTGTTTACTGAGGCTTATAGAAAATGCGTCCTTGTAAGACCATGCTTCCCATGCAGAGATCACAAAACCGTACAAATGCAGCGGTAAGTGGGCCTGGTGGAAACGTGACAATATGGTTTTCGTCACGCAAAGTCACGTTTCAACGCCTTACACATTCTACTGATATCTGAACTATGCAGCCGTCATTATTCAGCTCTGAAGAAACAATATAAGCCCGCACATGTGCTCTCTGCTTTGTTTTTGTCTTTCTAACATCCATGTGTTGCTTGTAGTGGGTTCCTCCCATCGGGACAAACACAGCCAGCCTTCCTCCGCCATGCATGGTGATAGCCCAGCCACCTCCGGATCCGGATGTACCTCCGAGAATTGGCCAGTTTTTAAATGGATCACATGCCGCCTGTAAAACCAGGAACGCCCAGATGGATCTATTATTAATTGTTTGCTGTAATCCATTACGGTGAAAAGTTTAGATACGCATGTAATTAGCAAAGGTAACAATCTGAGTGTTTTTACTCAAGTGAAATGTGCAATTTCCACTTTGCATATGAAATAACTTTCTATCATCTTTTGTGTAGAGGAATTGGGGCGGTTTTTGGAAAACACTGACGGCTGTTGGGGGATAAGGAGCAAATGAGCATGCCAATTATATGGACCAGTGCAACAGAGGTGAATCTGGAGCCCTTCCGTATGTTATTACGGTCTGTCCTTGATTCGTATTAGACATGCTTCTTATTTCTTTTTGTTAACAAACTTAACACATTCGCTAAAATGTGAGCAGATCCCTCCTCCACCACCAGAAGACGTGTAGGGTCACCAGTAACGCAACTATGCACATATCTACGGCGGTCGCTTGACGGGGTGAGGTCTCAGCCTCCGAGCCTGCAGGCGGTGGGATGACCTCCGTCAGAGAGGGCACCAGCCCCTGACCCTGCAGTCGGTGGGATGACCTCCGTCAGAGAGGGACGCCAGCCCCTGGCCCTGCAGGCGGTGGGATGACCTCCGTCAGAGAGGGCACCAGCCCCTGACCCTGCAGTTGGTGGGATGCCTCCGTCAGGGAGGGACACCAGCCCCTGACCCTGCAGTCGGTGGAAAGCGCTCCAGCAGGGAGTGGTGTCAACCCCTGACCCTGCAGGCGAAGTTACGAGCTCTGGCAGGGAGGGATGTCACCCCGACCCTGCAGACCGAGGAATGTGCACCGCCAACATGCCATCTCGGCGGCGCGTCTCCGGCGCCGGCCGCCGTCCGCTAACGAGCCCCGGGTCGTGACGCGGCTGATGGCAGCTGAAAGCCTAGCCTGCCGGGCGCCAGCGGCGAGCGTGAGCGCCGGCGTCGTCCCGGACCGGTCCGTCCCGGTCCGGTCCGTCCCGATCCAGTCCGTCCCGATCCGTCCCGGTCCGGTCCGTCCCGATCCGTCCCGGTCCGGTCCGTCCCGATCCGGTCCGTCCCGATCCGGTCCGTCCCGATCCGGTCCGTCCCGATCCGGTCCGTCCCGATCCGTTCCGGTCCGGTCCGTCCCGATCCGGTCCGTCCCGATCCGGTCCGTCCCGATCCGGTCCGTCCCGATCCGGTCCGTCCCGATCCGGTCCGTTCCGGTCCGTTCCGGTCCGCCACGTCCCGGTCCGTCCGTCCCGATCCGGTCCGTCCTGGTCCGGTCCGTGCCGGTCCGGTCCGTCCCGATCCGGTCCGTCCCGTCCGGTCCGTCCCGCCGCCGCCGCCGCCGCCGCCGCCGCCGCCGCCGCAAGTCGCCGCCGCCGGCCGTCCCGCTGAATGGTTCGGCTACCGTGCCGCGCGCCGCCGCCGCCGCCGCCGCCGCCGCCGCCGCGCCGCCGCCGCAGCCGCCGCCGCCCGCCGCCGCCGCCGCCGCCGCCGCCGCCGCCGCCGCCCGCCGCCGCCACCGCCGCCGTGCCGGCCGTCCCGCTGAATGGTTCGGCTACCGTGCCGCGTCGCCGCGTGGGGAGGTGATGCTCGCGATGCGGCCGGGACGGAGTCATGTGTCAGCGCGAATGCTTTGGTTATAGCTGACTGAGGTGAGCTGATGTCAAGACGTTGAGGAAGCGATGATTATCGTTTTCACTATAGAGCAGATTGATTGCGTTGCATATAGATAGTTTATTTTGTTGTTGACCACCTTCAGGTATTTTTTCCGCTTGCTTCTGCTACGAGTTCAAGTATTGCCTTCGCATAGTCAATGTGTCGTGAAATAAGCAAGTGGCAAGTAGACCGCGGAAGGTATGAAGTATCAGCCGCGATTCGCACGCATTTAGGCACAAACGGACACCTTTGTTTCAAAAAGAGTCTACATAAACTACCCGACGGTAAATGCACCATGCGGTTATGTCGTGTAAACCCGTCTATGAGTAGATTTACGATTTCATGTATCTGTGCCATAATTTATCATGTGACGTGCTGCGCATCGACGACAGTTGGCATAATGCTGATGGCCTTATCAGAATCCGCGTCTGTGTGCGTCAGAGTGCCAGGGCCACAGAAGTCACACAAGGTGGTCAAGTCAACGAACGCGTGTTTGATTTGGAGGTCGTCACAAATACCCACTTCTCGGCTTGGGTTTGCGCCCAGTCAGACTTGACACAGGATCTCTCCACCACAATCCCGCCTTGCGATGCGCGGTGGCTCGATGCGCCTTGCAGCTTCCGTCTTTGCTAAGCTATCGGAGAACAAAAGAAAGCCATTCGCCATCATCGCAAGGCGCACCATCCCCAATATTACCGCGCCATCTGGTGTTTGGCCAGAGCAACAGAGGCCGCTTAACCCCCGTCCGCCTGTGTCTCGTTTCCTTAGCATTCATCGACCATCGGCGATTACCGAAACGTTTCCCCCGCCGGCAACACTTCAGGCTAACGACGTAAACAGACATCGCCGCCGCAGGAGCTGGGGCGGCCGGGACGCGCGCCGACGCCCGCGGAGAACGTCGCTAAATGGTGCAGGGTCGGCAAACTCGATCAACGGACGCGGCGACCAACTGACGCGATGGACGGGAACTCGACTATCTGACGTCTGGATGGAGGGAGGATGCAGTGGACAGACGGGCAGTGCTCGGCAAAGTCGGCCAACGGACTGACGAGCGCGGAGCGGCAGACCCGATCGACTGATGGAACACAGGGGCACCATGCTGGGCTTTTCGACAAGACAATTTTGAATCCTGGTTATCACTGGCTCTTTCGACGAAAAACGTGGATCGTGGTTCCCACTGGTTCTTTCAGGAAAGACCACGGATGCTGGTTCCCACTGGTTCTCTCGGCCTAACAAGACCCTCTATCCCGGTTCCCGCTGGACATTGCTGCCAAACAATACCTTGAGTCATTCTTCCCTTTCGTTCTTCATCACAACATGGGCCGGATTTCTTGCTCTGATTGGTTCTTTCGAGAGCATTGTGCGTTGGATATTTGTTCGCACTTTTTGATGAACACATGTCCCAGTGCGGGCTCTCAGCCACACATTTACATAAGCCACACTGCATATTCAGATATTTTTGTCTTCCATTAGATAAGAGGTCACACCACTGGCGAGCAAGTCAATATGCGCTGGTACCACAACTGCTATGAAAGCTTTAATGTTACTTGAAGATCAAAGTCTACAATTTACACAAAAAGGTCTGAAGCTATCTATCTGCTCATTATCCTGGAATAACTGGGGTGTCTTTCTTATTTGTTCGGTTTGCCTCCTTTCCCCCATTGTTGATTATCCCCCAACGTTGGTTCAGGCCCTTTTTTACTGAAATGTTACCAAAAGTAGAAACTGATATGTCACACAAAGCCTGCCATTGCATTCCTTTGAGGACCATGACCAGTACAAGTGTTAAACGGATAACTAAATTCCTTACAGCTGGGCTGTGCTGGAATAAACATCACCAGGTTTGTACTGATAGCTTGCCTACCTTGATGTCTTGGGATGGACTAAACAACTACATTGTGGTCACCGCTTTCAATACTCCGTTCGAATTTAAGGTGATACAAATATTGCAGAGTTCCAGGCTGGGTCTTGATTTTGCTGGATCCTTCGACGTAACGCAGGCTGGATCTTGTTTCTTGTTGGATCTTTCCGCCTAATGTCAGGCTGGCTCCTGGTTCTTCCTCGATTTTTTGGCACAGCTCCTGATTGGTTCCTGGGTTCTGCTTGGTTCCGGAACCAGGAGCCGTTTCCAGGAAGACATTTTGGGAGCCAGGTGCGTGTCTGCTACTGAGCACAGGCAAACCGGCCAACTAACGATAACAGGAACGGCAAACGCGGGCAGCAGACCCGGTCTTCACCAGCGATCGGTGAGCTGACTCGCCCGCGGCCAGTGGACCCATCAACCCGCGGAGGGGTGAACGGTAGACCCGGTCAACTGACGGAGGGATGAAAGGTGGACCCGGTCAACTGACGGAGTGATGAACGGTAGACCCGGTCAACTGGCGGAGGGATGAAAGGTGGACCCGGTCAACTGACGGAGGGATGAAAGGTGGACCCGGTCAGCCGACGGAGGGATGAACGGTAGACCCGGTCAACTGACGGAGGGATGAAAGGTGGACCCGGTCAATTGACGGAGTGATGAACGGTAGACCCGGTCAGCCGACGGAGGGATGAACGGTAGACCTGGTCAACTGGCGGAAGGATGAAAGGTAGACCCGGTCAACTGGCGGAGGGATAAACGCTGGTCTGAGCTTCCGAAGAGCAGGCGACAGATCTCGAGAGAGAGAGAGAGAGCGAGAAGAGAGAGAGAAGAGAGAAGAGAGAGAGAGAGAGAGAGAGAGAGAGGAGAGAGAGAGAGGGAGAGGAGAGAGATGAGAGAGGAGAGAGAGAGAGAGAGAGAGAAAGGAGAGAGAGAGAGATAGAGAGAGAGGAGAGAAGAGAGAGAGAGAGAGAGAGAGAGAGAGAGAGAGAAGAGAGCAAACTGACGTTAGCTATCAGCTGACCTTAGTTATCATCTAATCGCTTCGCATCTAAATCAAGAATTGAATTGCTCGTGATTACTGGGTGGAGACAGTAGAGTCTTTTGTTAACCTCTTCTGATCATGCCTTTCTTCCTGCTTGAGCTTCATCCGCTCCTTTCTCCGGTCAACACACGCGCGGCGGAAGTGGGAAGGCGGGCCAACATCGTTCATTTCCGCCGCTTTCAAAGCGGCGGCAGACTGGCTGTGACATATGTTTTCGCAGAGGGCGCAGGCGGCCCCTACCCCTTATGACAAATTGTGCGCAGTTTTGGAGGAGAGTTATTTCGACAGTCGTTAAAGGGGCTAGTAGACTTGAGTGGAGACAACCGTGGTGGAAAAGGTGGTTTGATAGATAAGTGTTATACTGCACACATGGTTGAATGACAGCTCATGTTGTTCTTAGATGAGGGCTGGTCCACCCTTTGGTGAAGGTAATTGGATGGAGGGCATTTCACCCATTTAGTTTTGCGAGATGCTCGAAAACTCGATTTGTTTCGCTTGGTGGGTTTGGCCTAGGGCATTGTTGTAAAAAAGACAACTCGTATGATAAAATGTGTTGGAATGCATGCCTTGTGCATAAGATACCGCTTTAACACGCATAGTAATGCATCCGTGAAATTTAGCTGTCTGCGGGCGCTACTGACTTCAGCAACTAAGCGTGTGTGGTAGTGCGCTAGCTTTTAATGCATTGATATTGTGTAAAACTTCCAAATCACCAGCGAGTTCTACTCAAAACATATATGGTGCTGTTTGGTGCTACTGCGCAAGCTATTTGTTTGTTGTACTGTCCAGAGACGGCGCCTCCGTTGCTTTAAAGGAGTAAGTGGGGCTAGAAGTCTACTAAGCAGAACTGGGGTCTAGCTATCAGAACTATCTAGCACTTTTTCAAGGTTTTCCTCGTATTTGGCCCACTGGGATATTCAACTGGAACCTTTTCAAAAGGATGGCTTATACATATATATATATATATATATATATATATATATATATAGATATATATATAACCAAGTAAAGCCCCCTCTCGGCCCGTTCCGGCCTTTAGTCTTTCTAAATGGGGCCTCCTTTTGAGTTGGCGACTTCCCGTTTTGCATGAGGCATTGCATGGGGTCTATGCATCTGATGGGTCTACTTTGGAACATCTGGAGCATCCTGTTGACCAAAAACCTGACGTTGGCTATCTCGGGTCCTCCGTGGGACAGATATTGTCTTATGCGGGCCGCTAATTCCTGTTGGTCTGATGAGAAGTTTTAATCCGGTCATCTGAGATCTCCTGTCCGCATGACGGCGCCTCTTGAAATTCCAAGGGGTCAGAAATACACGCTTCCCCCCTTCCCAAATGATAGGAGGGCGGTTGGCCCTGGTCCCCCAGCATCAGCCAAAGCTAGCGGCGCTTCTGCACAGATATTTTTCCAAGGCGTACTCGGTGCAGCATGAAATTCTTACATGTAAAGCTATTTGTTTATTGTGAGAAAATGTATGATATTGCCCTGCTTGATAGACTACATTGCCTCTGACTACCCATTTTCGGGAGCACACGCAATTCCTCGTCACAAGCGTGGTTCCCTGCACTGTTTGTATCGAGCACATTGATTGCAGTGCGTCGCACACCAGTGACAGCTGAGAGCCGGGCCAGAGCTGACGTCCCAGGTAGCTGACAACGAGCGTTCCAGCCGTGCCCTGACCTGACACGGGGTCAGCACTCATACGCCAGCCCCGGGCCGCCAGGCGTCCCGCGCCCCAGCATGAGGACAGCGGGGTGGGTACTCACTTGCGAAGCGGGGGTCGCTGGGCGTGCCGTACCAGCCGGCCGAGCTGTTGCGCACGTCGCCGTAGTGTCCGAACTCGGGCGCGTTGCAGTACTGGGCCGGAAAGGCTGCGGCCGGCGTCGCCAGCTGCGGCACGTGCATGTGCGAGTACGGGTTGGCCATGTTCTGCTGGCCGCGGTACACGGGCGAGCTCGGCAGTGAGACGAAGCTGGAATCCAGCGTGGACTTGCGGTAGGCTTCCTCGTACGGACACAGGATGTCACTCACCGAAAAGGGCGTCGGCTTGGGGCTCAAGGTCATGTCATTGGGGTCGCCCGGGTCAGAACGCAGGTCAGCGGCGACCCCCTCAGGCCCGCCGGGGGCACCGAGCAGGGAGAAATTTAGAGTATCCACTCTGAATCACACGCGCAATGTTCTTGAGAGAATCTTGAATCCACTCCGGGTGCCCTTCGAGAAACGCTACACCGAGTGACTATTTTTTCCGATGCTTGAGGTCCTCCACGGTACAAGCAAAACACACCGAGAGCTCGAAGTGCTCTTCACTGCCTCCTCTCCAGAGAACAATCCAAATCTATCACAATTTTTCGGTAATTTGGATGGTCGTTCACTGGCTCTCCGTTGGTGATAAGACCCGACTGGCGGGCGGCTGCAGCCAATCAGGCGCCGCCCGTCCGCGGCTCGGCCGGTGATTGGCGGACAGGCATTGATTGAGCTAGAGGCTCCGCCCAGTCGAGGGGGAGGGGCCTGCCGCTGCGCCGGCCTTTGTGGGAGCGAGTCACCCTCGTCCTATTCATTGAGTTTCTTGCGAGTTCCTGCAAATGGTGATTACCAGCACAACGCGTGCCATTAATGATCACTGCCGGCGGCTTGGCCCCGCCGACAAACCGTAAATCGAGCATCTCGCGCCGGAAAACAGTCCACGCAGACGATCAGAAATTCATCACCGGAACTGCACAGGGAGAGGTCCAACCACACACCCCTCGTACGGTCACACCACCTCACCACCAGAGAGCTACCAGCCATGCTGTGCACTGGTCCGACCCCTAGCCCCGAGGCAGGAGGGCAAGGGGGAGGGGCAGGGACACGACCCCGGCGGCGGCTGCGCAGGGACGGGCGCCGAGACGCGGCAGCGACGCGGAGGGCCCTCCAGTTTGGAGGGCGGCCCGCGCTGGATGGTCCTCCAGCGGCCGAGCGCTCCAGTCAACGAGACTCAGGGGCCATCCAGGCCGGGTCGCTAGTTATCTGAATGATACTTGGGCGCGGCCGGCTGGAGCGGCCGGCATGCCCGCGTCGGTCGCTCAGTTGGGTGTCGGCGTCGTGCCGGCTGTGAGCAGGGGCAGCCGGGGGCGCCGCGGGGGCCAGTGCCGAGTGCTGCGGGGCGCAGCGGGGTGTCCCGGCCGGAGCCGCAGGCAGCCGCCGGACCGGCTCCGGCCGACGGCACCGCAACGGCTGGGGCCTGTGAGCGGCTCTGGTGAGAGCTGGGGCCTGTGAGCGGCTCCAGTGAGAGCTGGAGCTTGTGAGCGGCTCCGATGAGAGCTGGGGCCTGTGAGCGGCTCCGGTGAGAGCTGGGGCCTGTGGGCGACTCCGGTGGAAGCTAGGGCCTGTGGGCGGCTCCGGTGAGAACTGGAGCCTGTGAGCGACTCCGGCGGGATCTGGAGCCTGTGAGCGACTCCGTGAGAGCCGGGGGTGGCAGAGCCGCCCTAGTGATAGTTAAGCCTGCAGTTGACCTGCGGCTGCAGCAGTTTCGCCTCGCCAGCAGGCGTTCGGTCGGCACCAGCAGAAGACCGTGGCGAGGGCGAGCTTCCTCGGACGGCGCCGTGGAGCGCAGCACCGGCGACTCAGAAGACTCTTACTCGGCTGCAGAGGGCCGCACCTCTGCGAGGCCTCTAAGCTCGGAAGACTCTGACTCGGCTGCAGAAAG